ACATGAGTCAGCCCATTTACAATTCTACAATGCTTGAACGAGAAATGTCCCCCCTTTGGGAATGGCCTAAAGACACTTCAGTCAGTGGCACTGCCCCGCGGGGTTCTCCCATTCTTTGTTTAACTAGATCACCAACAAGTTTCTCAACTGGCGAAGTTTTACATTATAATTGGCCTATGCACTGTGCAAGGCAGCATCAATATTCCGGTGTAACCGACTTGGGTGTTTGTCTGATTGCGTTATAGCAGTATTTTATGTACAAAAATAAAAAAGGGGAAAAAACTGGTGTTTTATAATAATGTCTTTATAACCGACTTCTCGTTATTACAGGACTCGTGAAAAGTGGACTCCACTGTAATAAATAATGAATAGCATTTATATAGGGCAAATTCCCACTTGACAGCAAGCTCTATGCGCTTTACAGATTACAATCTATATTGTTACCACAGCTGACCTGATAGCATTAAGAAACAATTTCAACTTTCTGGGAAGCACACTGCAGTGCAAGCAGCCATTTTATAGGCGTAGCACTAATATAGGGCCTACTGACAAGATCTTTCGCTGTTTATGGCCGGCGACCCATTCCCACCTGGGAAGAGTGAGAGGAAAATCCATGTAAAGAGCCTTTCCCAAGTACACAACATCGGGCCTGAGGCTCGAATCCCTGAATCTGTAAGGTACGGTACTTACGAACTTGTTGTAACAAAGCAAGCAGGGAATTACTATATGACTTTCAGTGTTAAAGTAGGCCTTGGTGTTTATACGCCCCCATGGACACAATGATTTTGATGATTTTTTTGCATTTCTAAAAGAAAAAGGTTTATGACTGAGTATAAAGTCTATTTTGGCTTCTTGTTCTTCCACCAGGACTCTTCCACTTCCACGTATTTCGTCTTTTTGGGCAATTTTAACACCTGGAGTTTCTCTGCCCCATTTTAAGAGTCGTTCGCCACTTTCATTCTTTTTACCCATTCCCTATGACCCAACTACATGTATATCTTCTATGCGTGTAACTCATATTTTCGGAACATGTATCGAGTCCCCCTTGACTAGCTTTATATTCTGAGATTTTAGTTGTATCATTGCCTTATCAAGCTTTTCATAAAATTAATCTTTTTCTTCATACTCCGAAAGGCAAAAAAATGATAGATGGATGTTGCCTGGCGGTGATGGTCTTAAGAAAATGCATTGAAAGACAAACCCTTTTAGTTAGTTATCCATTCCCTCCAAGATCTTGCGGGGGAATGCAAAGAAGAAGAAGATTAAGATAAACTTTCAACATATTCTGACAGGTCTCTGCCAGCAGGTACATGTACATCATAAGGGTTAAGCCAGTAAAAGATCCTCCCCTTCCCCCCAAAAAAAAAAAAAATCAACACAAAAAACGGCACATGTTCAGTAAGAAAATGAGAAAAAAAGTCCATACCACTCATACAGCAGACACAAACAGCCAGTTGGATCTCCAATATCACAGTAACAGTTTAATATTTGATTATCACGTACAGGAAGAAAATAACAGTCAGTGGTTCTGCAAACCAGAATCTTTTGATACCTTTTTAGGAAACAATAAGAAAAATATATATATATGTAAATTAACATCATAAAGTCAGACCAGCTCTGATGACCATCTGTACAAGACAATCACCTCTACAAACACTATCCAAGACCTCTACCTGTCTAAGACAACCACTTCTCTTCTTAACAATGGGTGACCATCTTGGACAAGTTGGACTGAATATCTGTGTGTATGTGTATGTGTGTGTGTGTCTAAGCATAGAGATGAACATAAAGACCAATTAATGAAATCAAGGAGCCTATAGGTACAGTACTCAACATACAAAGCTTACAACCTTGAGTATCTTGTGAAGACGGAAGAGATGCACACAACAATCATAAATCATTAATCTCTGTACAACCTTCTGTCAGACCAAGATATGAAATGGGACATAAGACCAAGAGAACCCAAAGAACAGTTCACAGACCCAATTTGAGTCATTAGTGAAGAGAAGCACATCGACAAATTGAGGATCATTTTGTGCCAAGAAAAAGGAAAGAGAGACTGACAAAACAGAGGTGGAACAAAGTTGTACAACTTAACAGTGGCGTCCTCCAACCACCCACACTGCAGACACCATCAACAGCCTACAAACCAGATCAATAACCTACAGACAAGGTATTTTGCTGAAAATGATCTCTAATGGAGTTAATCTTCAAATAACAGTGACACCTGTTATGTTTTCTAAGAAACTACGAATTAATTCCGATAAAATTATTGTTATGGTTGAATTGATGGATTTGATTCAGCAGTGTCTCCTAAATGTCTTCTAATGTAGAAGTAGAAAAATGTATTTACTATGTTTAGTCTGAGCACAGGCTTATTCTCATTTAACACTTCACACTATTCCACACTAAAAAACATGTGCAACCTCATTCATGTATATTGTACAAATGAATCAGCTTACACCAGTGTATGTAGTGTGATGATCAGGCTCTTCACTGCTGTACACAGAGATTATACGAGTTTGATTCCTGAGTGGGGAAACCATTTCACTGAGTACCCCTGTTCTCTGTCTGCTATCATATCCCATTTAGCATAAGAGGATGGCAGCCCGTCTCACTAATTATCTAAATTGTTTTGTGTTTCTTTTAAATGCAGTTGTTTTACACCCCCATTGACACAACTTAAATCATTTAGGAGGTTGGCTTCAACTGTGCCTGACTGGGCAAAACCCGGATGAGATACAGCAACTCAGCAGAAAAACAGAGATATTTGGTAAAAATTCTCCCCACATGGGAATTTTAGGTTTTTAAAAAAGTTTTAGTAGAGGTTTTACAGCGCTCGCAATAGCACACGGTCACATGAGCGCCAAGGAGTGGATGTCAACAGAGAAGTCCTTACAGGGAATCAGACTTACTCTGCTCACCTCTCTTGCTTCAACAGCACAAAGTCTGCTTCGACTATCAAGGCACCCCGTAAATAGCGGGTTACAAGAGTGTGACAAACATTCAAAAGAAGTAGAGGAAAATGATGATAGTAAGGATCAGAAAAGAAAAAGCAGCAGTTCCCTATTGCAGTTCAGGAACAGATATGAGCACGACATCGATGAATCAGCCCATTTACAATTCTACTGTGCAGAACAGGTTAATGTCCCCCCTTTGGGAATGGCCTAAAGACAATTCAGACAGTAACACCGCCCCAAGGGGTAACATGGAAATTGAACTTGGGTCTTCTACTTGTGACAGCAAAGGCAAAGAGTCTAACCACAACATCATAAATGCCCGTGATCTAAATTGTGTTAAAACTGGGTGAACAACTCCCAATTATGGATAGCTATCTACTACAACAGTAGCCTACAATAATGAATAATAACAGTAAATGTGGGGCATTGTGGTGAAATCAGACACTCATAAAAAAATGAAACGTTGGGACAATTTTTATCAGGGTTTTTTTTTCCCGACGAAGGGGCAACCCCTTTCACAGCCATTAAAAACACATTACTGTGTGGATTTTACTTAAAAAACAATGATCAAAGGCACAAACAATGCAGAGTAGCAGTTTCTAAAAACACTCAAACTCTGGAGGTCAGTAAACTTTAACAGTCATTTTCTCGCTAATTCTACCCCTGACTCAAGCACCAGCTAATCCCCACCTCCTTCAATCGCAAATATCTATTCACGATTGATGGGGGGTGAGATTGGGGGTGGTCATCAAAAGCAAGACAAATGAACAAGCTTTAAGATTATACTAATAACTTCATATACCCAAAAATTCTGCCGTCTTAGGAAAAAAGGACGAATATCGGAAATTGGGTCAAAAAGAGATATCCATACCATGTGAAAGAGCATGAAAAGCTGCATCTTTTGAACCAGTGGCCATTACAGTTAGAGATGTTGGAAATACTTTATTTTGGTATTGGAAGTATCATCAAAATTTTTTCTTTTAAATTTATTTTATATTTTATGAAAGAAAGACGAATCTCCGGTCCTGCAGTGAAAAAAGGACGAATACCGAGAGGTTCGTCCTCAGCTGTATATTAGCAAGTGAAAAGGAAAAACTGTTTATGAAAAAGCGACAAATATACCGATATTCCTCCTTCTTCGCCAAAGCATGCCTACGTTACAAAGCCACAGGTTTTATGATGAAATACCAAAAGGCTCAAATCCTGGCATATCCGGCGTTGATCCCCGCAGTGTCAAGTGTGTTACACGCAGTAAGACAACAAGCACGACTGCTTGTGTACACTCACCAGAATTTGAACCCCAGATCTTTGGCTTCACCGGCAAAGCGCAATTAAATAACAGCCGCAAAACACTTACATAAAACCAGACGAACCTCAAATATCACAGATACGAAAAATCCAGAACGTTACTATTTGACAACGTCGGGTGAAAGAAAGACGAATATTGCTATTCGTCCTTTTTCCATAAAAAGCTAATTAAAACATCATCAATCTGTTATGAAAGAATGACTTTTGTCTTCTCACACAAAAATTTGTTGATATTTCCTAACAAAATTGTAACCACAAGTGCATAATTGTACCATCCTTCCCCCTGCCAAAAATCAAGTTAAAAATAAAATAAAAAACCAACTTTTTAAACATGAGACGAATAAATCTGGTTTTTTGGCCCTCCTGGAAAATGGGTATGCCGCGATATTCGTCCTTTTTCCCCAAGACGGCAGAATTGATGAGTATCTGATTCCATCATGTTGCGACACAAATAATACTTATAATAATGGGAATTTACATAGTTTCTGATCCCCAGAAGCTCTGTACAATGCGGAATTATCACTCAACTTGACTGACAAATCAAAAGTTAAAAAATGCACATTTAGTCATTATGAGACCATTTAACACACACACACACACACACACACACACACAATGCCCAACCCACACACATTATCACAATCCAAATGCAGTGTTGAACAAATCATGTCTACAGACTATTTAAAAACTCTCTCTCTCTCTTACTCTCTCATATGTTATCATACACATTTCTTCAGGAAGCGAATTTCACATTTTAGGGGCATTGGAAGAAACAGCTCTTCCACTCAACTTGTTAGATTTTACGGTGGGAGCTAGTAGTCAGGTAATATCAATTTACCTATACAGTCACTCAGTAATACAACATATTAGGACCACTTTTTTGATGATATACACCCATCTATAATATATGCAAGTATTTCAATACATTTTGTGCAACTTCACTAAACTTAGAGGTACCTTTGGTTTGAAAATGAACATTGATAATTTGCAAAAACTTATCATTCTCCCCCTTCCCCTACAGCAATCTACTTTGAGGTATCAAATCACTTCGATTTTGGAGGCTATTCCTGAGCGAAAATATCTTCTCTGTAAGAGTCTGAGGTTATGTTCGCAGGACTAAACAGGTCTCTGCTGGGAAAATTTTTTTTACACCAAGCACCAAAGTTTAGGAAGATAATAGAAAATAAAAAGTAAAAACAACCAGTTTCACAAATAAATTAGTGCATCCTTACAACTCTCTCAGCACAAGAACAGAACATAGATCTATTCTTCACATTGCCTGTCAGAAAAAAAACCATTCAGTAGGATGCTCCAACAACCTCAAAGCATCTGAGTTCACAGAATAACAACATGTGGTAAAAGCAACAGTCATGGTAACAGCAATAATAGTAAACGAATGTCACAATCCCCACTTCCACCATGAAGAGCTGGAAGCGCTACCCATACACCCCCCTCCTCCCTCTGCTACTTGAGCACTGGAAATGGAAGACTTCCAAGTACAGATTGCAGAGCATTAGCATTGGGGTTTTTTTAAATTGATGATAGTTTTTGGCCTTTTTTTAAATGGAAAAAATAATCCAACCCTTCACAACTAACATTATGTCACCCCAACACGCCCTGCCTCCTCTCTCACGTGTGCTTCTTCTCAGTGCCCTGTTCAGGAGTCCGTTTCTCGTCCTTCATGCCACCTGTCTGCGTCTGCCCACGAGAATTGTTCAGATCTTCCAGCACGGCCTTGCCTGTGTCTTTGGCCGCCCGTTTTGCCACAGCCTTGACCCCAATGTGGTTAGCGTTGTAGGCTGTGAGGACGGCATTGCCGGCCGCGTACATCGAGTTCTCGGTCAGCTGACCGACCTGGTTTCCGTATTTGTGTTGGACCACCTGGACTGTCTCGTTGGCCAGGCTCTTCCCTAGGGACTTAGCCGCCGTCTCCAGGCCTATATATACCGTGCCAAAACCTGCGATAGAGGACAATGGTTGTATTATGGACTTGTAGGACCTGTGGCTGCTCCTCTTGAGAACAACCAGCACACACACACAAAGATGCGCACACAAACACATTCTCTCTCTCTCTCTCTTTTAATGTCTGAGCAGTTCTGCCAGGACAGAGGTAAACATTCACTCCTGTGAACCATGTGTAAACAACCACCTGACCACCATTCTGTCTCACACTAGAACAATTCCCAGACTGGTTCCATTTTCCATCTTACACCAGCTCATCTTTCAGCCTCACATCAACTCCTCTATAAGTTTCACTATAATTATCAGACTGTTCACTTTCAGTCTTATCTTTCACACAGGTCACCCTTCAGTCTCCCACTGACTCACCTTTCAGTCCCGAGGCAGCGACCTCCACAATACCATCAAGTGTCGACTTGCCTCCCTCAGAGTTGGGTTTGCTCAGACTTTTGGGAACGTACTTCTCTCCCTGACGCCGGACATGAGGAGCCAACTGGCGGGCCAAGGACATGGTCGCCTCCCCCAGCTTGTTCACTGAGATGACATACACATGTATGTGCATTACTGTATGCAAGCATCATTTAAGGGAGGGAGGGAGGGAGGGAGGGGGGGGGGGGGAGAGAGAGAGAGAGAGAGAGACAGAGAGAGAGAGACAGAGAGAGAGAGAGAGACAGAGAGAGAGAGAGAGAGAGATTTATACTTTTAAAATGTTGCATTATCACCTCTTCCTCCCTCATTTAAAAAAAAGAAGAAGAAAAAAACTCAGCCCATATCTATTCCAGAACTATTCATGTTGCAAACAGAATCATACTGTATATATGTTCTACTTTGTCTGCTAAGCTTACCAATGAATCCTGTGACCTTGACAGTGGCATTGGTGGCCTGCCTGGCATATACCACACCCTTCTGCACGCGAGGGTCAACGTGGCGCTCTGAAGTCCCTGGAGATGTCCGTTCTCGAAATTTCTCTGAGCCAGCCTTGATAAGCTCCCCTGCCTTCTCAGCGCCTTTCCCCACACCCCAGGCGATCCACTCAGCCGCTATTTACAGATGAATTGGGGAAAGAAACAAGACAGGGTTTGTTATGGCGGTGTTTAAGAGTAATTCTTACTGAACACAAATAATTTCAAAACCCAGCATGAACTAACTACTGAGCCAACAGCACACCCCTTAGAGAGTAATCCATACTAGAAACAAACAGACACTTTTAACGTCATGCATGACACCAACTGAACTACCAGCACCCTCCCCCCCCCATTTCTTGTACATCACAGAACATGCATAATCTGTCGTATCTCTGTGTAGTCTTCTGCCTGCAAGTATCAAGTCCCAAACTCTATGCTCTTGATAAGAGTCAGGCAAGGTCATGTGTAAGTCTGGTGTGCATAAAGAAATACAATTGAAAAATCAGGTATGATTCAAATTCTATTCAAGTTTTGAATGTTTGCCACTGACGAGCGGCTGAGCCATCTTAAGAAAAATCTCTAGTTGTACGCTACAGTGAAAAGTCATTTTATGAGAATACCCTGTGACCTGTGACTAAGGACACAAGAGCCATTTGAGCAGTTGCCTTGACTTTGGGCTCTTTTGAGACTTTTCATGGCTCAACATCAAAATGGCAAGGCCATAGCAAAGACGGAGGCCAACTTGGAGGTCCCTGCTCTTGAATAACCCTAAAATATTGAAAGAACTACCTGTAAAACCCATACAATACACAAGTGTGAGAGCGAAGTACCTGTGACAATGCCATGAGAGATTTTAGATGCTGTGTCTCCTCTTTCTTCCTCTCTTTGTTTCTCTGTGGTTTGTTGCTCTTCTTGGCATGGATAGGGTGGGGCTGTGGCGGGCTGTGGGTATAATACAGTGAGCATGAGAGGAAAATTGCATCCAAAATAATACTGGACCTTTCTAGAAAGGAAAGAAAATTTATCGAGAAGTCCAGAGAGTGGCAGATGAAATCAAAGTGACCATTTAGGGCTACTGTTCACTTATGAACATAACGCTACAAAAGTAAATAGATGTGATTTCAGTGACTACTGACCATTCTTGTGTCCATTAACCACAAATATGGTACACAAAGCAAACAACTTTAACATTTACAAGGCAGTGACATGCAAGACAAAAAATATAAGAATTAGAAACAATATGTGTTTGAGAGAGATAATATGCCTGACACCTCAAGCAAACAGATAATGAAATGCGATCCAACGTGCCAAACAGCACAGTACAATGACAGGAACTCACCTCTTGAGCCTCTGCTGGTTGCGAGAGTGGTCCCCCTTGCTGTTCCATGACAGTGAAGGACTGGATGAGCTGCTCAAACCTGCTCCGTTCGCCCTCGGCAAGACCCTCAGGCAACATGAGGCCCACTGCTGAGCCTGTAGAACGCAAACAGACAGTGGGAAAATTTTACTCATTGTCTTTTACTCAGGTATAATGTACTCCATTGTCCAAATATTCGCTTCAGTTTCTTTTAAGTTGCTAATGAAGCCCTTGAGACAATAATGGTAGGACAATTTTTAAAATACTTTGTGTTAACGTAAACATTTATTACAGAGTAGGCTATCTGTCCTCTTTTCACCAATTTAAAACACTAATCGCAAGAGAGAGAGAGAGATGACCACCACAGTGAACAATCACATGATGAAGGTGACTAATAGACAATGAGGGAGAGAAGACCACTGCTTTACATAATCACATGATGGCAGTGGCTAGCAGACTGTGGGAGGGAGGTGATCTACTGTATAACAAACTTTTTCCACAAGTTACTTGAATTTACTGTTTTAAAGGAAATACACGTATTCAAGATGTTCCCAATATATTAAAAGAGGTGCTTCTGCACCAACCCCTAAAAATATACATTACACTGGGCCACTCAAATAACGAATCCAAAATATTTGCTAAAAATTAAATGGGCAACACAGGGAAAAAAAGAGCACTCATATAAAAATCTGGTGTACAGTATGTGAACAGTACTTCTGTTTTCGATGACATACCTTAGCGTCTCATTATTATAATTCATTTCTCAACTTTATGATGTACCTAGATGTAACATAATTCACCTCTCTTCTTTATGACACACCTACATGTAACATAACTCGTTTTCCTTCTTTATGACATGCCTAGATGAAACATAACTCATTTCATTACCTTAGGATATGCCTTAAAATCCCATAACTAACTTCTCTGTAATATAATTACATACTTAAATGTACCATAACTACTTATCTATTTAATGACATACTTAAAAGTACCATAACTCACTTCTCTATTTCACGATATACCTGGATGTTCAATAATCCACTTCTATACTGCAAAACATACTTAAATGTGCCAGGGTACCATGGCCCTCTCAGGTACTCTATGAGGTACTAGCACACGCTGTCACCCTCACCTAGTTGCTGGGACATGACGTCAGGGAACAAGTAAGCTCCATAGTTAGTGCGCAGGGCCGGGGATGCACCTGGGATCAGTGGATACATCCAGTCGCCCACCTGGGAACAGATGACAATACATGAAGGCCAATGTTAGTTTAGTTAGATTAAACAGAAACACATTGGCACAATAATGACAATATAGTGAGGGGGGAAAAGGAGACAGACAGACAGAAACAATAGTGGGAAAGAAAAGAAGAAGTAGGATCTACCAACAGCACTTGCCAGTTAACCGCAAAGGGCAAGGTACAAAACTAGGCCAAAATATGTTTCTTGGTGTAAAGGACGGATAGTCATAACTAACTACATTCAGTTTTAATTTAAGAAAGAGTTTTACCGTACTTGCAAAACAAATGGGTATAAGCGCCAAAGATTAGAAGTGTCACTAGAGAGTAACAAACAAAGAAAAGAAAGAGGAGAGAGGGACGACAGATGTTTGATAAGAAAGAAGGAGCAAACCACACCAGAGCACCCACTAACAAAATTTATACACGGATCAAAAAAGAGAAGCTGAAGCAATGACATGGGGAAGAACTCTATGTCAGCACCATCAGCAGAACGGAAAGGACGTAAGTTTCCATTATTTTTTTTTTTAAAAGACAAGCACATTGATAAAACAGCAGTCATAAAGAACTGGGAACATGAATAAAGCAATAGAGAAGATAAACAGACAGAAACAACAGCAGGAAACAAAAGAAGTAGGACCTAAAAGCAGTATCATCCTCTCCAAAGTCAAAAACAAACAAAACAAATAAAGCCCAGGGTAACTACAGTCTGAATTGAGAAAGAAGGCCACCCACTGTTGAGGAGAAAATTGGTTGTCTTAGACGAGAGGACGTCTTGAACAGTGTCATTAAAATCTAGAAAAGAACACAATATGGGAAGTGAAAAATAGTTGTTTGTACTAGTGATTGTTTTAGACAGATGACCCTTAGAGCAGGATGACTGTGTATATATATATATATATATATGTGTCGGGACCTGGAGGAATAGGCTCTTGTCAATTTTTCGGCGAGTAGAGTTATTGGTATCACCCTTAAGATTGTTTATTTGTCTTGCTTTAGATGAAAACAAATGTCTATTTATATCAAAAACAAGTCGAGATATTTGTAAATGAAGGAGGTAGGTTTCACTTGATTTCAGAGGTAAAAGTAGTGAGAAAATGTCTGCCAAAGATTGATTATTTCCTTAGTCTGTGTAAACTGAAAAATTACATTGGTTGTGCTTTTAATCGTTTTCCCGCAACATCCACAAATATAAAAATGTTTTTGAATGAACATACAAGGTGTTGAAAAAAAAAAAACATGCGCAAAAAAATTTCCAAACTGGTGGAAAAATGCAGATTTCTTCAATGTCATTATTTTGACGAGCGTCTGATTCCACCAAGCTGCCTCACATATATAATTCAACAATAGCCACAAACTGAACGGAAGAGGAAGGATACAATGACAACAAATTAGGAGGAAAGGGAAAGACACTAAGAGAAAATAACGATACTCCACGATGGCCCCAAAGTGAAAGAGGAAAGATTAGTGACCCATAACAACAATAACGTTATGAGTAGAAGGAAAAGGTACTACATAACACAAGCACACTTGGCAGAAAGCTTCAACATGCTAACAAAATACAGAAAAAAAGATTAGATTAATCTGTAAAAGACCTCAACTAGCCAATCAAGGGACTTACATGAAGGAATGCAGGTGGCGCCCCACTATGCTGTGAGGTGGCTTCACCTCCTGTGAACCTGACAATGTTCAAGGAGCTGGGATAGGAAGGAGCACTGACAAGACCCTCAGGGTTGATGTAGAAGATCTGGACGCCGTCCGGAATGCTGAAGAGGTTAGTTCCATGGCTCACTCGCTCACCAGAGGCTTCGCCAGCAAAGATACTGTCCCCAAGACGCATCATTTCCTCATCCATGCCAGGAAGGGAACTCGGGCCCTCGCTCATCGCTTCATCATACGAGGGTGGGGCGTCCGCTTCCATTTGCATCTGTGCAGCAAAAAAAAATTCTAATAAATTAAAACCTTAATGCAATATTATTTTTCATAGCAAGAACCCAAGTTTGGCTTTTTAGAGAAAAGAGAAGTACATTAATAGATATTTAGTGAAATGAAACTGCAAGACAGAAAAGCAAAAGCATTGGAGGAAACAGAAGTGTGACCTTCCAGTGGCATCTTTCAACCATTTACCCTGAGAGATATTAACTAATGACATCCAGCACATTAGGTTTAGTTTAGTTTTCACATTAGGTTTAGTTAAGTTTTAGTAAGAGTTTGATGGCACTTGCAACACAAGTAGGTCAGGAAAGTGCTGAAGATTACTAATTAGAGGTTACAAGACAGTAACCAAAAACAAAAAGGAGGAAAAATAAGGATGACAGATGTTTGATAGAAAAGAAGGAGCAAACCACACCAGAGTGAGGATGAAGACATGACACCACTGGTGTGCGATTTATACTTATACACACTCATTTTAGCGCCCCCCCCCCCTCCCTCCACAATATCACACACACACCTACATCCACGCACAGATATCATAATAAAGATGCAAACCTACATGCACACTCTAACACATACTCATATTTCGGCACACAAACATACATTACACATGCACAAATGCAATCTGCCACACCTGCTGTTGAGCCTCCTCTGCCGCATACCCCTGCAACTCCTGAAGCCGGAAGGTCACTTCCTGCCTCGTCTTATTCATTTTCTGAATCATTAACTTGGCCTGATCCATGCGGCCCCCACCGCAATCCTGCAAACGTTCGCAGTTGACCCTCAGTGCCATTTCTAATAGACGATGACCTTCAGAATAGTTCTGGAAGGCCAAAGCTTTATTCCCTCCCTCATCAGCCTGCAGAGCAGAGTCGACAAACTTATAGATGGAGTCTCGTAGTCCCTTAAGGTCGCTGTAGCTCTTCACATCAGACAGGCTGTTGGGAACGCTTGACTCTGATTCTGATGGAGCTGTCAGAGTTCGCTGTGACGGTCGTGGAGGTGGTGGGCGGGGTGGGGGCTCCTGTCGCTCAGGGGCACATGCCATGGTCCAAACTTGTCTCACTCTCAGCTGTCACTATCACAGTCAAAGAAACCAGCAAAGACTGAAAGTGTAGAAAAATTTAAGTTTTACGGTCAAGTTAACGTCAGAATTAATAACATTCACCATGTAAATGACTAGGCCTACATTTTATAATTAAACAATGTCAGTATTGTCAGAACCGACCACTTTGTAATATTTATAATGTATCCAAACTGACCACCTTGTAAGTTTTAGTTTTATCAAGTTCAAAACTGATTTCTGTGTAGGCTAACATTTAACATGACAAAACTAGCCACTGCATACCTAACATGTCTGTACCATGACTATGAAGTATGTGAGACCAGACCTGCATGACAGATTTTTACTGTTAAGCTGCAGAATATTGTACAGAGGTGTAATCGTTCGAGTGGGACTGGAAAGCAGTGCACATGTTGTCAGCCAGCAGTTCAGATGTATTTTACTTATAATCAAATTAAAAATAAGCCCAAATTAAAAAGAAGTTTCTTAATTAATCTACGGCAATAATAAACTGTTGAATGGGTACTAGATCTGATTTTACTTGCCATGATGAGGGAACAAAATTTAGCAGACAACGGCCAAACAGCTGATCGAAGAGATCGGTTGGGAAAGGGAAGTAGTGAGAGTAATCTCCCCTGCTATATTGGAATTTACAAAACAATCCACAGCTAATTATCGAAACGTAATAATAATATGAATGATCGAAAGATCACAAGTTCAACACCCCCACTTGATTGAAAACGATTCATTCGCTCATTCATCAACCATAAATATATTGAAAAATGTAGTAAACGTAGATCAAATATACAGTAGTCTCCGCCTAAGATCCCGGTGCTCGGGAGCAAGGAAATGCGGGATCTTAGGCAAACCGGGATCTTAACCAATGAACCCAGGGAAGAATCTATGGTGACCCATGTTAAGGCTCACAATCTGTAAAATGGTCTCCCTCCACTCTACAATGCACTGACATGCCCCCTTGGTGGGTTTATGGCATATGGCGAGCAAAGAGTGGTTAACCTCGATGACCTATCACGGTGCATAGTGGCATGAGGCGTGCCATTTTCACTTATTATCCTATCATGAGTCTCAACATCTACGTTTATCCAGTTGCCCCTCCACTTTACCTGTCGAAAATGTATAGCTTTCCATCTCTGACCGAGTCTCCCCCCCCCAAAAAAAAACCCCCAAAAAAACCAACCACTTTTGTCGTTACACATTACGGTGTAAACACCCAAATTAAAATTCCGTCTGTGTCGAAAATTTGGGAGTAGAGACAACTGCTGCAATGGTAAGGGAAGAGTTCACGGTTCGATGTGATCCCGCCTGGAGCGAACGTGTAGGCCCTACCCACCCAGCAAGTGATGCAAATTTAGGCGGCGAGCTCAGGTGTGAGTGCAATGTATGGGGAAATCAAACGCGTCGGTCAGTTCACACCCCAGTGTGATCCTGTCTGGGGCAAACATTGTATCGCTACATCGAGTTTTACAACGTGTATGTGATCACATTCACGATAGTGTCTGATCTTGACGCGACGGACAGTTTATTGATCTCAACTTTTCACTCTTGGTTGATCGGCTGTGCCCGCCTGAGTTTTTGTTTCGCAAATTATTATCTGAAATGCGGGATCTTAGCCGAATGCAGACCATCAGAGCGGGATCTTAGGGGTGACTTTTGTATAATAGTAAAAATTCTGTTTTCCTAGAACAACAGGATCTTAAGCGAACCGGGATCGTAAGCGGTGGGATCTTAGGCGGAGACTACTGTACTAAGCATTGTCTACTAAGCATATTTTAAGAAATGTAATGTTAATGATACAGGTACACAAAAAATGTTAAAGAAATTTGAATACAGTGTAAGTACTACTCAAATACAACAGCCTTCAATGTAACCACATTAATGCATTAAAAATTTCAATTTCATTCAGCACATTTGTTTTCACATCACCGTTTACAACATCTGGTCTCGTAACAATTTACTTTCCAAAAATGATATCTGTGAACTTGTTCAGCTTAAATTTGGTAACAGTAGCAGGCTTCATCATCAAATCTGCTAACATTTCACCAGAAGGACAGTATTCAAGTTCGAATCTATTCTTGTTCAGTTCGGTACCGAACATCAATGTGTTTTGATCTTCCATGGTTCACAAGGCTGTTGGCTAGGGCAATTGCGCCCTGGTTGTCCTCAAAGACCACAGGCAAATTATCTTTAAGACTAATTCCAATATTATACAAACTGACTGAGATACAAAACCTCCAGTCCTCGGTCCAGTTTTGTTCACCATTTATACTCCACCACTTGTCAAGTAAATAGTTAAATATGACTTAAAATACAATTTCTATGCTGATGATACCCAAATTTATGGTTCAACGTTGTTTACCAACTTAGATGAACTTGTCCATCGTGCTGAAAATTGTATTGCCTTAGTGAAAAACCGGATGAACAAATATAAATTGATGTTAAATGATGATAAAACAGAAGTCATTATGGCAGGCAATGCAAAGTCTGTTAAAGAGGTTGACCATGATCACATTAAAATTGGTGATGCAAAAATTTTATTTTCAAGAAAAGTTAAGAATCTTGGAATCTATTTTGATTCTTATTTGTCAATGTCGGCTGAGGTAAATCATCTGATCAGCTGCATGTATTTAGAAATAAGAAAAATTAATAAAATACGTCATCTGATCAATACCAAGTATACTGCTTTACTAGTAACTAGCTTAATTTTATCTTAACTCGATTATTGTAGCTCCTTGTTATCAGGAATATCACTGGAGAAAGTTAAAAAACTTCAAACTGTCCAAAACAATGCAGCACGTTTAGTTTTACGGAAAAGAAAGCGAGACTCTGCTAAACCTCTTTTACGAACTTTGCATTGGCTTCCTGTTGAGAAAAGGATTGTGTACAAGTTGGCCACCATATGTCACAAATGTTTGAATGATAATGCACCATCATATTTATCAAATCTGTTAAGACTGTACATTCCAACTCGCAGTTTAAGGTCATCAGCTGACAAAAAGAAATTTATTTTACCATCTATGAAACTTAAAACAATGGGTGAAAGGGCATTTGAATACCAAGGCCCCAAGATCTGGAATGCTTTACCAAGTACGTTGAGAGAAATCAAATCTTTTGATTCATTCAAAGGTCAGCTGAAGTCGTTTCTGTTTTTAAATTAATAAGATGAATATTTGGAATAATTTTCTTTAGTCGGGAACACAATGTTTCATGTTACTGCTGTATGTTGTACTGTATTGTAAAGCGCTCAGAGCCTGTGTACTTTATTAGGGGTTGAGCGCTATATAAATGTCATTTATTATTATTATTATTAACATCTTTTACTCACACACAAGTACTTGAATGCTTCATTTTACTCTTCCAACATGTATCACAACAAACTCACATGAACATCTTACTCGCACACATACATGAATTTCCCTGTTTTTTCTTCTTCTTCTTCCCTGTTCTCTGCTTCTCCAACTTCGTTACTTTTTCTCCTCTTTTCTCTTCTTCCTTCTCCACCCTTTTCTCTCCCTTTCTCTCTTCCTCTTTTCCACTTCTTCCTTTTTCTTTTCTTCTTCCAATTTCTTCGCCTCCTCCCATGCTTTGTACTTTGCCCGTAAGACATGTATGTAGGGGCCTTAGCCCGCTTCTCTGTGTTGAAACCTTAGATAGTTCCAGCTTGCTGGTATGGGCAGGTTGACGACGAGGGGGCAGGAATGAGTTGATTTTACAAATCAAGGTATTTTTTGTATGCCCCCTCGTTCTCCTTAGGTTCGATTTTGTGCCAATGGCAACGGCGGACCCAATGCATGTCTGATGCCATCCATCCAGTGGCAATGGCGTGATCAATTAGACTGTCAAGGACAAAGCAAAAGTGTTGTCCTGAGGCAGTTTTTGGGGGGCTTGGGGTGTCACCAGAGTTTCATCTTCCAATGGTCTCAATGCCTGCTCAGGTAGACAATAGACATAGTCCTGGTTGTCCACAGGATCCTGAGCTGGGGTCAAAACCAAAGGTAGCTGAAACTCTGCTGCAGGATCCAGGAAGTCCTCGGAGGTACATTCGATCCCCGAGAATTCCAGACCTGTGGTCGAAAAGTCTAGGGCATCAACTGACCACTCACAACTAGAGACAAGGGCAGTTGGGGGAGGGCCAGCAAGTTTTTCTTCTGAAACAGAAGCAGTAGGAGCAGGAACAATATCACAACATGTGGAAACAGTGGCTGGAAGAACATCATCACAACATGTGCATACATTGGACAGAGGAACATCATCATCATCATTACATACAACGGGATAGAGTTTCCTTCATATAAATTTGTTTCAAACATTAAAAAAGAACAATCTAAAGTCGCTCATTTTCTAATGAATCCGTGTCTAAATAGATCTATCTAGATCTATATCAAATCATAGAAACTAAAAAATCTAAAGTACTAAGATGCCATCCATAGTCCGTCAAGAAATAGGGTGACCTTATTTAGGCCTAAATAAGCAAAAAAAACTCCCTTACCTTATTTAGGCCATATGTGGCCTAAATAAGCACTCCCCAAGAAATAACTATTTTTCAAGTCACGCACCATGTAAAAAATACGGTGACGGTATGGGGTACATCCATTAAAAAATTGTACCCCATATGGTCACCCCCCCTACGGGCGCCAATTGTTACAACAAAGAGCAGCGAATGGTTTGTGGCGGTAACTAGACACCTTATAAACTGAATAAAAATGCGAAACGAATCCTGCGGGTACGATTGTAGAACCAATAGCTTATTTCCAAAGATGTATTGCGCATCTGCAAGCCGTAATGGCTGAACGCGGTTCTTACATTTGGAGATGAAATGGATCATTTCTGCTCACACAGGTGTCTGATTCTGCTCAAAATTGTTGAACTTGAAAACAAAACAATGTTGAACGGAATTGTTTAGCAGACAGCATTCCAGATTATCGCATAATTGTCTGGTTGTCCAATTTTAGGCCAAATGTGTGCCAACTGACAGTATGACGTACGTGACGGTATGCCGTACATAGGCTATAGATCTATAATCTAGATCTAGAATAGATCTTACCGACTATAGATATCTTGATCTTGGTATTCTTCAATCTTCCCTAGATCTAGAACTAGATCTATCAAGATCTAATCTAGTCTAGTATTTTGGAAATTAAGAAGTCTTTCAAACTGTCCGCCGGCGACTATGGAAACCACTTACTTCCAAGAACACTTCCAATGAGTAGATCAGACTATGCTATTCCTCCGCTACAAGATCGCATCGCAATGGTCTGATGTTCTGAGTAGTGGTGCAATTGATCGATCAAATTTTTCGATTAACCGAGCAAGATTCTTGGTCGAGTAAACCGACCAAAATGGTTTCTTGACCGAGCAAGACATCAATCAAACGCCAAAATTAATTGTCGCTATCAAACAAACGCGAAACCCATATTTTGTCATTGCATCGTTTTGAAAACCAGCAAACTTCAAACTTTTAACAAAATGCAATAAGCATTTACGATTTCATAAAATGTATGTTTATCATGATAGTAGAATCTGTTTTAATTATCCAGTATAAAAACCTGTATCATTTTCAGTTTTTGACGGTTGTGTTTTTGTGTTCGCCATTTAGGCTTTCCCGAGGATGGTGCTCCTGGGTAACACTCAAACAGGCAATCAGATATATGAAACTTACTCGAACAAACATCAATCAAACGCCAAAACTGATTGTCACTATCAAACAAACGCGAAACGTAATATTTATCTTTGCCTCATTTTTAGATACGGCAAACTTCTAGCTTTAAAAAGAGTGAAATAACAGTTATAATTCTGTAAGATATATTTTTAATATAATAGTAGAACTGGGAGCTCATTATTCAGTACAAAAGCTAGTATCCTTTTCAATTGTTGACGGTCGCGGTTTTGTATTCGTTTAGGCTTTTGGGATAATGGTGCTCCTGGCTCCTGGGTAAACCTCAAACTGGCAATGATGAAATTTGTTCGAACAAACAGCAATCAAACGCTAAAATTACTTGTTGCTGACAAACAAATGCCAAACATATTTTAAAGTCATATTATTAGTCAAAATAGAATAAAGTCGTATATTCTAATTAGGAAATAGCTGCCCAAGAGTATATTTACTATCAGATACACAATTGGGAATCTTGTTGAATGTCAAACCCAGCAGCCACTCTTTATTTTTAGACTGTCGCGGTTTTTTAACTGCACTGAGGGTAAAAGACATTGAAATGGCTGTGCTCCTGGAAAACCAACAACTTGGCAAATGTCTCGCGCCACCAGCACGAAAGCGAGACAAGTGTGTCAACTTATCAATATTCATAACGGAACATTTTATTTTTAGATCTAGCCAGGTTTAATATGAGGGTCTTTTCGTTGATAAGCGTATGCGCGAGCTTTTCGCGCTAGGTCGCTCTCTTCCAAAAGCATCTTTGGTACCATTTTCTAAATGATTTACTGACAGTACAGCAACAACAATATAAAAACGTATTAAAAACCCGTAAACCCAGGCCCCTCCAACATGCCAGCAGCAGAATCGTAGGCTTACTAGATCTACGTCTGGCCCTACATGACCTTGAAACGCATCGTCTGTAGGCTAGATCTAGTGTTGTTGTTGTTCTCACTTTGTCCGATCAGCTGATTTATATCATGCAAACCAGTGACCCACTGGCATCTATACAAACCAAGTCTTTATTTCAGTTCCTCTTCATTTCTCTCTGCTCTCATTCTGACCTCTTAAGCCAGAATATTTCGTCCGATCTAGACTTGTTCACATTCTCAATCTTAGTAATTTGGATGCTTTCCTCTTTTTACTTAATTTCAACGCTTCCACTTTGATCTGCAACTTGTTATTCTGTATTACTGTGCTGATTTTTGTTTCTGTGCCTAGATCTTTACTTTTCTTGAAAAACACATTTAATAAATACCAGCACAATGAATTAGCCTAACCTATTAATAAAATATGCTCGATCTGGGCTGGAAACTGAGCGAAAAAACAAAAAAAAGGAGGTAAGATTGAAGAACAGGCCTACCGGACCAGCGGATTCGGACAACTTTTGCCTATATCTATGTCTCGACAACCTTAGGAATTCATGATTTTCCCCAGTTTTTATTATCCACTTTTAATCCCTCTCACACAGGTAGGCCTAGCTTAGAACCCCCCCCCCCCCCCCGCATTCTCTCGCAATAATACGAGTGGTCCAGTATTCTTCAATTTTCCCGAAAGGAGCAATCAAAATACATGTTAAACAAATTAACTAACTTTGCACGCATCTTCTCGATATATTTGACTCTTATTTTTATACCGCGCGAAGCGACGAAGACCAAAAGCTAGGCTATTTTTAGATCCAGACATCAGCTGAAAAATGCGTGCTTACAGCGCAGCTGCGATGACTTTTGACCCCTGCTCGATCTAGATTTCTTGGTCGAGAAAATTTTTTCGGTCAATTTCATCGGTTAACCGAACAATTTTGCATTTAACCGATCATTACTCGACCAAGATTTTTCGCTTACTCGCACACCACTAGTTCTGAGGAAAAACAAACGCAAACCGGAAGAACTTTCTACAGACTTTCGATCATAATTTGTATCGATATTCCTGTCACACAAAAATATCCGAGCCCAGCCTAGGCCAAAGATAGTAAATAGCAAGATGGGCCACTCAGCCAAAAAAGTGCCCGCAGGAAGTTCGCTCTTTGCTTCAGATAGCGCTGCAGCACAGAATTCTACACTAAAGAATTCTGTAGAATTCTGTGCGCTGCAGTCTGTTTTGAAGCTCTCTTTCGTTTTTCCAGAAGAAGAACAGGAATAGCACCTCCTTGCGTGCGCAGATCGACTGCTGTTCATCAGCAGTTCGGGTTCGTTCAGTGCGGAGTTTTAGGGGTTTTTTTTATTTTGATGACCTCTCGTCTTTCATTCTAAACGAAGAAAACAATCACCCTTTCCTCAAGAAGAGGTTTTTTGTCAGCGTAACCATTTTAAAAAAGCGTTCTTCCGAAATTCATTCAAAAACTTGCTAGTTTCACTTTAATTTTTTAAAAATTCAAGTAGGATAACTCTGTGCGCTTTTGCGAAGAGGGCGCCACCGAATTTTGAGGACACTTTTTTAATTAATTGGCTCAAAGAGAGAAGTGGCCCCTCTTGTTATGTAGACTCTTTGCCTAGGCTTAGGCCTAGCCTATCTTTGAGTTCGGAGGTTTGGGCCGAAGATAATATTATCTCAACGCTGTCTATAGAGTAGTATAGCTTAGATATTGCTTATTCGCAGTGATTAGCACTTTGATTAGATCTCTTCTTTCTGTTTTCCTTTCCCAAGAGAAATGACAAGAACTCGAGTACCCTTAATTCTCACTCTCTCCTGTGGACTCGAAGCCCGACAGACACCACAGAGAGCATGGCTAAAAATAGTATCAAAACATAATCACGTGTTAGTGAGTCCGTTTTGGCTTACGTGTATGCCTTGCCTTGAGAAATTTCATCACACACATAGATCTACACTGAGTCACAAGTTGGGATTTTTTTTTTTTACCTCTCGCTTCTGCCTATTTATTATTCAATTTCTCTCTCCACTTCATAAATTTTGTTACCTACGTAGGCGTACCCTTTTCTTTCACATTCTTTACTTTACGATTTACTAGGCCTTGATACATGTATAAAAAACCGCCTATTAATGATCCATCTTACTACTAATGGAGCTAAGGACAAATTTTGCGAACAGTATTCTCAAAAACTGTTGAATGAAAAAATATGAAACCCTGCCAGTAACCATAACTTGAAACGTAGTGTTGAACTATTGTATTTTCATTAAGATCAAATGTGTAAGAAGAAAGCCAATTTTAAGTTAAATTCAGTCCGTTTGTAGCGATCGCCATCATTTGTTTTGACATTGTATTCAGTGCGGAGAGCCGACTGCGCCGAAGGATAATTTTGTGTTCAGTTATACATAAAGTAGTTTTACGGGAATTCCCGGTTTCGGTCTCACGCTTTTGGCCGTCTTCTCACAGCGGGTTTGGAGCGCTCATAGAAGAAACACAATAATAATAATAATAGATAATAGATAGCATTTGTATAGCGCATATCCCCGCTCAGCAGCTGGCTCTATGCGCTTTACACTATATTATTACCCCAGCAGACCATAGAACACTCCGAAACATTCTCAGCTTCCCGGG